ATTACATCTAGGCTAGATTACTGCAATTCACTCCTGTTTGGTATCAGTCAGACCTCTATAGCACGACTACAACTTGTCCAGAATGCAGCAGCCCGATTTTTAACCAGTACAGACAAAAGAGAGCACATCACTCCAGTTTTGGCCTCACAGCACTGGTTACCAGTTCATCTTCGAATCCAGTTCAAAATACTCATGTATGTCTACAAATCACTTTATATTCTGATTTACTTCATTTTGTATTTTGCTTTGTGTGTTACCTGTTGTTCTGTCTGTACAGCACTTTGGTTGGCCTTGTCACTGTTTTAAGTGCTCTATAAATAAAATGGTATGGTATCTCTTTCCACAGCCACCCCTTCACCTCTTCTGGGATGATTCCAAGACCAATCGAGAGACATAGTCTCTCCAGCATGTCCTGGGTCTTCCCTGGGGTCTCCTCCCAGTCGGACATGCCCAAAAAAACTCCCTAGGGAGGCATCCAGGGGGCATCCTTACCAGATGCACAAACCACCTCAACTGGCTCCTCTCGATGTGGAGGAGCAGCTGTTCAACTCTGAGTTCTATTTCGTATAGGCTTCGCCCTTTAAGGCTGTCGATGGTGGGTTTTTCCCTAGGCACTCAGCACTGCACTGAAAAACTTTAGTCCACGCCCACCTGCTGTGTGTGGGCCTAACCCCCGGTCCGTATAAATTACGGTGAGACCGGGTAATCGGCTCCCATTTTTTCTTCAGCCAGCTAGCTAGCACTGTCAGAAGAACGAAGAAGGAAAAGTTGTCAAGCTTTGACTGGCACAACCTTTGCTAAGGATGCCTGGGTTTCCGCCATGCCAACCTCCTGCCGTCCCGGTGAGCTCTTCCTCCCCGAGGAGAAGCAGACGAGCAGCCTTGTTCAAGGTAAGTGCAGAGGAGTGCTTATTCGTGGCGGGCCGCTACCCGCTGGACGATGCCACCGCCTTTTCTAATGTTTTTTTTTTCTCAAGGTGAATCGGATGATTCCCTCGAAAAAGGCGTCGTTGGCAGCAGCTCCGCTGAGTGTTTTTTCTGTGGCGGGACGCTATGTGTGGGACGACGCCACCATCTTCTTTGACGCAGAGTCACGCAGTGTATTGAATGATTCTTCCGAGAAAGGCGAAGTGGAGCTGCCCCTTCCCTCCTGTAGAGCTGAGTGACAGAAGACGAGTGACCGAGCCGATTCTCAGCCACCTCGGACCTTCCCACATCGGCGACCACACCGCTCCCAGCCGTCGGCACCCTCCTCTCGGAGCTGCCTGGCATAATCCAGGAGGATGTTAACACAAGGAACTTTCTGTCCCTCGCCTCCCTCCGCCCTGATCGGATGATCTGGCAGCAAGGTTGGCTCCACTCCGACTCGTCGCCCTGACCCCATCTGGCCTCGCTGTCCAGCTGTGACGTTACACTGAAATGAGGCAGCAGCTGGACCGGCAAGCTGAAGACATTCATCTCCACCTTCGCCTCCATCTCCATCCCCCCGATGATCTTTCTCGGATTTTGGAGCAAGTTAGGCCGAGCAGCAGTGGATCTGTCTGCCACACGGGAGAACGCAGAGTGCCAATTATGGTTCTCAATGAGTCCACGAGACGACCCACCATTAGGAGTGGATGCCTTCACTCACAGCCCGTGGCCAAAATTGCTCCTTTATGCGTTTCCTCTAGTCCTGCCAATATCACGGACCCTGGACCGGGTCCAGAAGGAAGTACCGTCAGTCATCCTCGTAGCTGCTGAACGCATATGCGCTACGTGGTTCCTGAATCTGCAGCGACCGATATAGGGTAGGTTGTGGAAACTGCTGTGGGGGGTGCTCTCCTCCAGGCAGTAAAAGCGATCAGGATTTACCCCAAAATAGGTCAGCATCTTTGGGTCTGTCCGCTGAACAGATCCGTTTAGAAAAGATGGGCCTCCCACAGGATGTGGTGCGCACATTTAGGGCGCACGAGCTGCTTCCACCACAACGCTGTACACATCAAGTGGACAGTTTTTTCAGCGCTGTTGAGCAGAGAAAGGTGTAGAGGCCATCTCATGTCCACTAGGTGGCATGCTGTCCTTTCTGTAGCAGCTGATAGACAAAGATCTAGCGTTCAGCACAATTAAAACTTATGCTGCAGCTATTTCTTCCTGTCACAAGGGCTTCGGTGACAAAACAGTTCTTAATCACGCGTTGATGAAGCTTTTCCTGATAGGTGTACGGAGACACAGACCGGTGTCACGTCCACTAGCTTCACAGTGAGACCTAATGATGGTCCTGCACGCTCTGATCAAAGCTCCATCTGAGTTTTTAGATCCGGTTTTGTGTGTTTTCTCGGGCTGTGGTGATTTAAACCCTGTTGGTGTACACCAGCTCGCTTGTGTGGAGGATGTGTGAGAAAAAGCTGCTGTGAGATCGTACGAACTGACAGTCAGGCTAAAATCATACACTTTAATTCCTGAATGTTTAAGTTTTATTCCAAAAACTCAAACCATCATTATGCACACACACATCCTCCTCAATGAATCTTTTTTAAATCTTCTCCCCCGTGAGCCCTGCGGCTTGTCGGGATGAGGAGGGCTGTTCTCTGACGGGAGGGGCTGGCGGTGGAATGGAGCGAGAAGACGCTGTTGCAGCTGTGGCGTGTCTCTGCTGTCTCGGCCACGACACTCTCTCCACTCCCTCCTCTCTCCAGGGGGGCGAGAGGAGGGGTGCAGCTTGATCAGATGGTGCACAGTCTCCGACACCTCCTCCAGCTTGAAAATTGGCTCCGAACAGCACGTCCGTCGTGATGGGGCCTTCCAGCGAGTCCATCTGCAGCTTCTCTGACAGGGAGGGTGAGTGACAAGCCAGGTGGACCTCTGAACCATTGTCATCCAGGCTGCGATGCGAGACAGGCAGACAGCAGATGAGGCACACGGGTTGAGGGTGGCGTCAGATGCCTGCAGAGGGAGCTCTTCGTCTCTTCAGGCAGGTCTGTCCCTCCGGCCTCTGAGATGCTGTACGTCAGTGACCGCCTAGAACGCATACTGGTGAGCTTGGTTGGAGAGTGACGTCACCGTCTGGCCATGCCTCCCCGGAGGCGCAGGACGCTGGTCCAACCTGGACATCTTTGCTCCGAGAGCCTCCGCCAGGCTTGGCTCCAGGGGGGCACCGAGGGAATTTTTGCTCAGTAAAACCCCTCCACTCTGGTGATGGGCACGAATGTGGAAACCGGCGCTCTCAGTCTACCAGGTCCGGCTGCAGCCTCGTTCCAGTAGGACGTCACTGCTGTGAAAACGAGGCCAGATGGGATCAGGACGGCGAGCCGGGATGGAGCCAAAAAAAAACCTTCCCACTAGATCATCCGATCTGGGCGGGGGAAGGAGAGGGACGGAAAAAAGTCCCTTCATGTCAGCCGCCTCCTGGATTATGCCGAGCAGCTCCGAGAGGAGGGCACCGACAGCTGGGAGCGGTGTGGTCGCCGATGCAAAAAGGCCTGGGGGAAGGGGGGGGGGAGCATTCACTCAGTCCCCCTCGTTCCGACACTATGCTCTCCAGAAGGGAGTGAGCAGTGGGGGGCAGCTGCTGATGTCGCCTGTCCCGGAGGAACCATCCGATTTGCTCCGAGAGTCGGCATTAAAAGGAAAAAAGGGTCGATGGCGTCGTCTAGCGTGTAGCGACCTGCCACTGATAAATATTCCTCGGTACTTACCTTGAAACAAGGCTGCTTGTCTGCTTCTCCTCGGGGAGGTTGGCGTGGCGGGACCCCAGGCAGCCTTAACAAAGGTTGTGCCGGTCAAGCTGGACAACTTCCCTTCCTCGTTCTTCTGACAGTGCTACTAGCTAGATGAAGAAAAATGTGAGTCGATTACCTGCTCTTAACGTAATTTATACGGACCGGGTGGGGCCCACACAACAGGTGGGCGTGGACTAATTTTTTCAGTGCGATGCTTTGCATGATGGGATAAACCCACCAGCGACAGCTCTTAAAGGGCGAAGCCTATGCGAAATAGAACACACATATTCATACAGCACTCTACTACATTCATACAGCACTCTACTACACACACATTATACATCACTGTACAACACACACACACATTATACAGCACTCTACTACACAAACATTCATGCAGCTCTGTACTACATACATTCAAACAGCACTCTACTTACACACACACATTCATACAGCACTCTACTACACACACACATTCATACAGCACTCTACTAAACACACATTCATACAGTACTCTACTACACACACATTATACAGCACTCTAATAGACACACATTCATACATCTCTCCACTACACACACATTCATACAGCACTACTATACACACATTCATACAGTACTCTACTACACACACACACAATACAGCACTCTACTACACACACACACACATTATGCAGCATTCTACTAAAAACACACATTCATACAGCTCTCTACTGCACACACATTCATACAGCTCTCTGCTAGACACACATTCATACAGCACTCTACTACACACACATTCATAAAGCACTCTACTATACACACATTCACTCTACTACATCTCTACAAAGATAATTTGAATCTGTAGAGATTAAGCAGTGCTTTAGATCGCATTCATCTGATGGGTCACACATAAGAGGCAATGAGGGGTTCAGTGTCTCGCTTAGGGACACTTCAGCATGTGCCTGCTGGTAGAATCGAGCCTGTAACTCTCACATTGAGGACGACTGCTCTAACCACTCACCCACAGCTGCTGATTAAGTATCAGATTGATGAGGGGAATTAGATGGCTCATGACTGAAGGACAACAGACTTCAAAAAGACAGTGGAGGGCTGGAGCTCCAGCTTGTCTTTCTGTTTTGGAAAATGAACCAATGAGGCCTTATCTTCAGTAATGAGGGTGTTGCTTTGGTCTCTTATGGTGTAGAAAGATCTGAGCTTAAAGCTCTTGTTTTGGTGATCTATCTACTTTCACAGACAACCTGTTCAACTGGTTTCTCATAGACACACCGTTATGAGTATTTGGCAAGAAAAGTCTTACTTACGCAACATAGTCAGCAATGACAACAGGTTTGGGGATGTGTCCTGCTGGAATGTGGCCTCTGAGTATTTCTGGTTCAGCTGTGATCAGAGGAGTGTTTGAAGCATTCATGATATCTGGCTGAATGGTGGGGAGGGGAGTCTGCTCCGATATCCGAGAACCTCCATCCAGCTGCCACAGACACGAACACTTTTAACATGACCTATACTAAATTTTAGAAACACAAACTGTTCATACTTACAACAGACAAGGGTATGGATGAGCCAATGGTGTTCATCTGGAGGAGTAAAAAAAAACAACAAAACAAAAAAAATTAGATAAATATGTTAATTACATTGAATTTTAGTTTGAATAATTATTTTTACATTTTATTATTCGTACTGAGTGGAGACAGGTAATCATCACAAGCACTGGCATCAGAAGCATTTATGATGTGGGGGGGGGACAGAGCTGTTGGTGGGGGGTCTGGGGGTCCTCCCCAGAAAATTTTGAATAAAGTACATGCCATTTCCTGCATTCTGGTGTATTTTAACGGGATGTTAAACTTCTACGTTTACCTAAACATTTGATTCAATAACTATTTTAGAGAACTGACTTCAGAGTAAGTGGAAGATGGATGGATGGATGGATGGATGGGTAAATCAGTTATTTTCTTCTTTAAATTAACAACAACTTCAGACTTTTATATTGAAAATAACAAATACAAAGAAGAAACATATGTGCTCTCAGTTGTGACAGTATGTGATTTATGTGTTGTATTCTTAAAGACATTTGAAGTGTGCTGTGGATGGAAGATAAGAGCAGCCAATGAGATGTCTGACATGTGATGTGCATGTGTGAATAAACAGTGCTGTGCCTCAGAGATGGACGTCAAAGCTGCAGTTGCAGTACATCTGATGACACCTATATCGTTACTTGTCCGTCATGTACAGTATGGAAAATAAGTATTTGAACACCCTGCGACTTTGCAAGTTCTCCCACTTAGAAATCATGGCGGGGTCTGAAATTTTCATCTTAGGTGAATGTCCACTGTGCGAGACAGAATCTAAAAAAAAATCTGGAAATCACAATGTATGATTTTTAATAATGTTACTGGTGCAAGTATTTGAACACCTGCCAATCAGCAACAATTCTGGCCCTCAAAGACCTGTTAGTCCGCCTCTAAAAAGTCCTCCTCCACTTCACTTATTATTCTAAATTAGAAGCAAATGTTTGAGGTGGTTAGCTGCATAAACACCTGTCCACCTCACACAATCAGTAAGACTCCAACTACTAACATGGCAAAGACCAAAGAGCTGTCCAAAGACACCAGAGACAAAATTGTAGACCTCCACAAGGCTGGAAAGGTCTATGGGGTATTTGCCAAGCAACTTGGTGAAAAAAGACCAACTGTTGGAGCAGTTATTAGAAAATGGAAGAAGCTAAACATGACTGTCAATCTCCCTCGGACTAAGGTTCCATGCAAGATCTCACCTCGTGGCGTATCAATGATCCTAAGAAAGGTGAGGAATCAGCCCAGAATTACACAGGAGTAGCTGGTCCATGACCTGAAGAGAGCTGGCACCACCAAGGTTACTGTGGGTAATACACTAAGACGTCATAGTTTCAAATCATGTATGGCACGGAAGGTTCCCCTGCTTAAATCAGCGCACGTCCAGGCCCATCTTGAGTTTGCCCATAACCATTTGGATGATCCAGAGGATTCATGGGAGAAAGTTCTGTGGTCAGATGAGACCAAAATAGAACTTTTTGGTATTAATTCCACTCACCGTGTTTGGAGGATGAAGAATGATGAGTACCATCCCAAAAACATCATCCCTACTGTGAAGCATGGGGGTGGAAGCATCATGCTTTGGGGGTGTTCTTCTGCACATGGGACAGGATGAGTGCACTATATTAAGGAGAGGATGACCGGGGCCATTTATTGCGAGATTTTGGGGAACAACCTCCTTCCTTCAGTTACAGCATTGAAGATGGGTCATGGCTGGGTCTTCCAACATGAAAATGACCCGAAGCACGCAGCCAGGAGAACCAAGGAGTGGCTTCGTAAGAAGCATATCAAGGTTCTGGAGTGGCCTAGCTAGTCTCCAGACCTAAACCCTATAGAAAATCTTTGGAGGGAGCTCAAACTCCGTGTTTCTCAGCGACAGCCCAGAAACCTGCTGATCTAGAGAAGATCTGTGGAGGAATGGACCAAAATCTCTGCTGCAGTGAACCTGGTGAAAAACTACAGGAAACCTTTGACCTCTGTAACTGCAAACAAAGACTACTGTACCAAATATTAACATTGATTTTCACAGGTGTTCAAATACTTATTTGCAGCAGTCACACACAAATAAATTATTTTTTAAAAATCATACATTGTGATTTGCGGATTTTTTTATTTTTAGTTTATGTCTCTCACAGTGGACATGCACCTAAGATGAACATTTTAGACATCTCCATGTTTTCTAAGTGGGAGAACTTGCAAAATCACAGGGTGTTCAAATACTTATTTTCCTCACTGTTAATTGTTGCAGTAAAAAAACACCAAGACAAATCTCTGTGAAACCAAGTCCTGGTCAGGTCATGCTAAGAGTCTAAAGTTCATCCATGCATCCATCCACCATCTTCCTCTTGTTCTGGACTCAGGTCTCGGGGCAGCAGCTTGAGCAGGGAGGTCCAGCCATCTCTTTCCACAGCCACCTCTTCCATCTTGCCTGTGAGGACACCAAAATGTTTCCAGGCCAACCGAGAGACGTAGTCTCTCCAGCATGTCCTAGGTCTCCTCCCATTGGGACATGCCCGAAGCACATCCCTAGGGAGGCGTCCAGGGAGCATCCTTACCAGATACTCAAACCACCTCAACTGGCTCCTCTCGATGTGGAGGAGCAGCGGTTCTACTCCGAGTCTCTCCTGATAACTGAACTTCTCACTGTCTCTAAAGGAGAGTCCAGCTACCCTGCAGAGGAAACTCATTTCAACCTCCTGTATCCACAATCTCATTCTTTCTGTCACTACTCAGAGTTCATGACATTGGAGAAGGTAGGAATGTAGACTGACCAGTAAACAGAGAGCTTTGCCTTACAGCTCAGCTCTCTCTTCACCACATTAGACCAGAACAGAGTCTGTAATACTGCAGATTAGGGCATTAACAGAGTACTCGAGTAATCTACACATTGATTGCTAGGACATCTATCAAGGTTAAAAATGTTACGTCGAGTATCCCTAGTGACGTCATATTATGTGACCACCGTATGACCGTAGGGGGCGGTGTTGCACTGCTGTAGGTCACAGAGTATGGTGTAACACCGGGTCCAATCCACAGAACCAGTTTCGGTTTAAGTTTCGTTTTTGACGTGCTGCATGTTTCTTCACGTTTGCAGTTTAATAATAATAACTAATAGTTTATAGTTTTTCCTGTGACTTATTTGCTGTATGATAAATGGTAGGAGCATAATATACGCTCCCAATGTTTTGTTGGTCATTTTTTGTAAATAATTACCTTTTTTTGTGGTTTTATTTATTTATTTATTTTTGTATCTTGAGATCTATGACATCATCAAATACTCGAGTTCTACTCGGGTTTTATTATGTTAATGTCGAGTTTAAAAATTATATATTCATTCAACCCCTACTGCAGATGCTGCACCAGTCCATCTGTCAATCTCACACTCCATTCTTCCCTCACTAGTGAACAAAACCTTGAGATTACTTGAACTCCTCCACTTGAGGCAGAACCTCACCCTCGACCTGAAGAGATCAATCCACCCTTTTCCTACTGAGGACCATGGCCTCAGATTTTCAGGTGCTGATTCTCATCCAAAGTCCAAAGAGTCCAAAGCTATCAAATAAAAATTGTCCACCTATTTACCACTGAAAGAAAAGTCACAATGTAAATGGTGTTCAGTGGGAGTGTGCATTCTGCAATCAGCAGCATGAGCAAATGAGCCTCCGACAGATGAACTATTGACTACTTTTCAACAGAGATAAACGTAATTGTGACATGTGGGAGACAAAACATTTGGACCACCTTTGGCTACAAGGACCAAAAGAGACCAAATACAAAGAGCAAGAAGTTGGTGGAAGACAACCTTAAAAAGGAGGATGTGCACATGAAGTTAGTCCAGTTCCTTGATGATAAAAATATTTTGCTGGTCAGGTGACAAGTGGCTGATATTGGAAGAAAAGTGCTGAAAAATCAAAGTTCATCCTCAGTTATCCAGGTAAAAAAAAAACAACAACGTTAAGTCAGGTCCTCTGGACAGATTCTTTGCATGGAAATGTTTCGTCTTTCATCCAAAAGATCTCATCAATCCGAGGAGCCACAACAAACTTGTCTTTTAAACAGCACACACACATAGTAGGCCAACCTGTTTGATGGTGATAAGATGATTTCTGGAATCCACCCTCTCCCCTGTTGACTCGTCTGAGGCAGCCATGGCCAAAGTGGTTCAAAACATCAAAGTTCATGCTCAGTAATCCAGGTAAAAAATCCAACATCAAGTCAGGTCCTCTGGATGGTTTCTTTGTGTTGAAATGTTTTGTCTTTCATCCAAAAGACTTAATTTGTTTCATTGTTTGAAGAATTCTTTTGGATGAAAACGAAATGTTTCAACACAAAGAAATCGTCCAGAGGACCTGACAACTTTGTTGAAAAAGTGCTGAAAGTTTTGAGTAAGTATTATGCAAGCAAGGGAAATCCTTGTGTCATTAGCATGTAAACTGAGCTAATTTCAGAAATCCAGCGGTGAAAGTGTAATGAACTGTGTTTAACAGTGGAGGCGACATTACAGCATAAGGAGTCGTAAGGTGATGGTTTACTTGTCGCTTTCATTTTGAAAGTACTTTCATAGTCAGTTAACCAAAGTGAAAATGCAAGACTGATTTTAAGTTTAAAACTAAGTAGCAAACCTATGAAGACACTGAGAAAATGTGCGTAGTTAACAACAATGTCACAAGACATATGTAGTGGAGCAAGAGGAATGCTCCGGCTAGTGCACATGACCATGGAGCCGAGGAGCCGACGGTACAGTTGATGTGCTACAGATGTGGACAACAAGGCACAAAGATGAAGCCGGTCACTGCAAGCAATGATATAGTTTCTACAAAACAACACACATCAGGACATGCAGACAGAAACCCAAATGATGACAAAAATAGCAAGATGTTTGCTTCACCCGCCCCCAATAAAAAAAAAAATCTGTAATAATAATAATAATAATAATGTCATCACAATGTCAGCACTGTATGTTTCCATACAATGGCGAAATTAGTCTCTGCATTTAACCCATCCAC